CCTGCCCTCCCACAAGAAAAACCTGTTTGAAAGCCAAGTGACTAAATATATTCCAGATGCCAATCGAATACTGCGGATACTGGCCCTGACCTCTCTCCAGGGGTCTCCTCAGCTATAAAACTAGCCCTCATGGGAGCGAGAGACATTTAAGGAGAATCAAATTCAGTGTGTCAGGCCAAAAAACATTCAAGTTCATTGAGGGTTCTGCCTATATCTTCCAAAGGATGTGGGTTCTCCTGGACTCAGCGACCTTTCCAGACACAGTAAACCCAGTCTGCACTCTGAATGAAATCTCTCTACTTTGAGACGAGAAGACAAGATCATGGAGGCCAGTGCCAACAGCCGTCCCCTGTGCACAGCAGCTACCACGCCAGGGCTCAAACCCAGTCCCATTCCGAGGAGCAGCACTGTGGCCTATCCTGAACTCAGCAGGCAGGCCTTCCTTGTGAGTCTGCCCCCACATTCCCGGTTACAGAGGCTGAGGCAAGCAGGTATACAGCCTTGCTGGGAGGCAGTGCAAACAGCTGTGGGGTTGGGGGCTGGGGGGAGAGGGGAGGAGATGCTTTCAGTCTGCAACATTACAGAAGCACTAGCTGCGCTGTGTTCCTGGTTTAGGATCTAAGGCATTTTACGTGAGTTTTTTTCCTTCTGAAAGGGCAGCAGGCATTTTCCACTGTCATGTCAGTGAAAAAGGCTCAAAATAAGCACAAGACCCACTAGTCACCAAAGCCAAAGGATTAGTAACTGTAGCCTGCAGCCAGGAACACTGAGGGGGGTGGGAAGGGCTTAAATAAAATACAGATTTTAAACCTGCTCTGAACCAGACTTAACATATTGGGGTGAGGCGGCCAGGGAGGTGTGTATATAAAGCTCCCTTGGTGCTACTCGGTACAAAAAGTCCCAAGAATGAACAGAGATGCTATCTCAGTGGTAGGCGGTGGCCCCAGGCTGACAGGTCTCCCAGCCACTACCACACCAACTCCTGCTGGGACACCACAACCATTCTCTAGGGAACCCTTCCAAAGTGCAAGTAAGGACAGGAAACTACTAATTCCACAGGGTCCCACCCCACTGTCTAGGAGCTGCTACACCGAGAAGGGAGGTGTATGCCCAGCAAACGAGAACACTGAGCACCGGCACAGTGGCGGGGACAGACCCCCTCACAGCAAGGAGCAAGTGCCAGGTGGAGTCTCTGGGGGAACAGACACAAGGTGGGAGGGGCGGAAACACATGTGCCCTTTGACTCTGCAATTCTCCTTCTAGGAGGCTGCAAATTTTACTGAAGAGTCAGAGATAAACCTAACTGGAGAAAAGTACAATGTTCCTGATCTGGAAGATAGGATCAGAAAGATGTCAACTCTCCCAAAGTGCCATCTATAAATAAACGCAACTCCATCAAAATCTCATTTGAATTCTAAAAAATACAACTGAAAACCTGATTCTGGAACTCATGAAAAAAATACACAGCAAAGAAACGTTTTAAGTCAATGAGGAAAACCCTCCAGCTCTCGGAATACACCCTAAGGTTGCAGGGATGAAAATGGAGTGATCTACAACAGGTGCAGGCAAAGGGGAGTGAAGCAGAACACCCGGGAACAATGCAGGTCCCTCCCCATGCACAGCCAGGGTCTCTGGCCCACTCAGCAAGCACACACGCATGTACACACCCTGGGCTCTTTCTTCAGGCATGTACTATTCTGCTTCATTGTTTTTAGGTATATATCTTTGAATGAAATGAGAGAGTGTGTTTCTTTAGGGTATGTTCCTAAAAGCACACTGGGGGCTGAGGTGTAGGCGCATGTAAAATTCTGCTGGAATGATGGATGTTAGGGACATCCTGGCCAGGGGATGTCCTGTTCTCCCCCCTCACTGCCCCAAATGGTGCCACCTTATTCTGCGGCTGGTCTGCTACAGCCCCCGCATGGTCTCCACCAAGCCGTGTGCTGCTCACTCCTCTACAGTCTCCATGTGAACATGCACTCATGCTTCCTTTTTCCCGCCAGTCTCTGTTCTCCACTGTCCTTGTGGTGCGATGTCATGGGGTCACATGTGTCAGCACTCCTGGCTTCTGGGGCAGAGGGAAACCTCTTTGCACATCTACCCATTTTGCCCTGTCTAGAGGGCTGTGGGAAGCTGGAACAGTGTAAGAGGGGGCGGCAGTTCCCTCCGTGGTCTCAGGACCACCTCTGAGGCAGGTGGGGCAGGCGGAAAGCTGCAGCCTGGGAACGGTCAGGGCACTAAGCATTTGAGGGCAGCTAAAGCTCAGTGCCCAAGGCTGACAGAGGGTAGGAGACCACAGAGACACGGAAGTAGATATCTGTCATCAGATAAGGTCTCCTGAACACCACTTACAACTTTCTGCTTCCCATCAGCAAGCTGGAGACAGAAGATGCCTCCTAACAACAAGTGAAGCAGCAAGACACACCTGGTCATCTATAATCTCCTGGCAAACAAAATCAGAGGCAGAGCCAGGGACAGAACCCTCCATCTCCCGACGCCCAGGTTGCACATTCTAGTTGGGTGGACACTCCCACGTGGCCCCATGGACAGCTTACAGAGCAGCTCTGCTGGGCTCTACCAGGCTCTGTCCAGCTCACCCATCAGAACCAGGGTCCTCACCCAGAAGGCAGGCTGAAAAAACAACTCAGATACAAAGAAAAGCAAAGCACCTGTTCCTTTTACAGCCCTGCCACACTGTCCAGACTAATGCAGAGGCTCAAGAACACCAAGGAGACTCACTGTGCAGTTTCCTGGTAGCTTTTAACAGACTTTTTCCAAAAACTCTCGAGTCATAATTACAAGAAGCTTTCAAGTGTCGAGGGACCATTTCCTTTTTTTTTTTAATATTTTTTTTAATCTTTATTTATTTATGATAGTCACAGAGAGAGAGAGAGAGAGAGGCAGAGACACAGGCAGAGGGAGAAGCAGGCTCCATGCACCGGGAGCCCGACGTGGGATTCGATCCCGGGTCTCCAGGATCGCGCCCTGGGCCAAAGGCAGGCGCCAAACCGCTGCGCCACCCAGGGATCCCTCGAGGGACCATTTCCAATACAGAATGGGAGGTGTGGACACCATGCATGCGTGGCAAAGCCAACCGCCCCAGGTCACACCGAGGTGAGGGTGGCAGGCCTGGCTGGCTGGGAGACAGCAGCCACAGCAAGCTTCTCAAAGGACACATCCTCAGGTGGCCATGTGTTCCCAGTAACCCCTGCTTCTGTGTTACATGCTACAGTATCAGGAAGGTCTGAAGGCCATGAGAAAATGTGCATACCGCAAAGCAGCTCAGGACATTCCTGTAGCTGCCATGAGCACGAGGCCCCACTGAGCCATTGTCAGAGGGCAGTACTCTCTCATGGAGCCATGCACGGTCTCTCACCCATCTGTGAATTATGGACAAAAAGCTACTCAAACTGACAGAAATGACATAAAAACTGACATAAAAATATGTTGAATCACTTCCCCCAAAATGGGCAAGCAGCAAATAACAATTGGGTTTTTAAAAAAACTGAAGCAGGGATCCCTGTGTGGCGCAGCGGTTTGGCGCCTGCCTTTGGCCCAGGGCGCGATCCTGGAGACCCGGGATCGAATCCCACGTCGGGCTCCCGGTGCATGGAGCCTGCTCCTCCCTCTGCCTGTGTCTCTGCCTCTCTCTCTCTCTGTGACTATCATAAATAAATTAAAAAAAAAAATTAAAAAAAAAAAAACATAAAAAGCCAAAAAAAAAAAAACAAAAACTGAAGCAAACCAATAGGAACAACAAAGCTGGCGTGCTCTGGGCCCAAATACTTTTTAAATTGAGGATGAATGACCAAGTTTTAATGTGTGCATAACAAAATCAACTTTTAACATGAAAATAATTGGATTGCTGTGCCTACCAAGACAATGAACCTTTACCAAGGCAAGTAAGAGAAAGGGAAATGAAGTCAGTACTCTGAAGCGCACACTAAGGCTCCCTGGTTGCCACTTCAGTAAGACACTTGTCAAGTGTTCCTCCAGTGGCCTCGCTGAGCCTGGGGGCTACAGTCACCGTCCACACACACAGCAGACTCAAAGGTGCAAACACCCCAGGCCCAGAGCTGATTGGATCTGGCCTCGACAGCCTGGCATCAGTAGTCTCCTAAAAGGCTCATCATCAAACAAGCCTCCAGGGTGTGACGTCCCTTCTGATGGAAGTCCTAGGACCCAAGAAGAGTTCTGCACCATGACTGAACTCTCTAATCCAGCCCTTGCTCCAGCAGATGACGAAGCTCTGGTCTGCTGCTTTGACAGCAGAGACAGTACACAGGGATCATGGTGTGCACAGCCCCTGCCACAGGGCATGTGACCCCTGAAGAATAAAGCCAACTAACACTACTTTCTACCTGTCATTCAACGGTCATTCTTGTGACATGCAGCTCTGACTGGCGGTGAATGTACAGTATGGATGTGACACACACTTTATCAATGTTATCGACAGTCAGAAATCAAGTACCAACAATGGCTGAGCCTGGTTTACTGAAGAGAAACATAAAAAGCTTTCCCCACTCCACCCCCCTCTTACCAGCCCTGTTTTCTATGTCAATTAGACCTAGCGAGAGCACTCCCTGGTGGTAAATACCAAGGGTCCATTGCCAGCAAGTTGAAACCCAGAGCCACCTCCCAGGGGATACACGGAGGCCCGGGAGGAGAACTGCACTCCAGATGCTCCATGCAGGTGATGAGGTTGGATGGGAAAACAGGCAGGGATACTGTGCTGCTCCCAGCAAGACAGCCAATGCCTTCAACAAAGTCAGGCGGTCAGGTAGCTATCGCCAGGCCGGCTTCTCCTTGAAGGGTCTAGAGAAAAAGTTGAGCTCTTCCCTGACTTCAGTGACCAGCAAGAATGGTCACTCAAGGCCCTGCATTTGTGCTCCATGGGGCCCTGAAATTCAAACAGCTAGGACTGCATCACTGTGCATGCAGAATGCTGGCACAGGACAGGAGCCAAGCACCGAGGTGAGTCTCACTACCTAGCACCTTACCTTACTTGCTCCCAGGTCTTGGTGGCCAAATGCAGCACCCAGAGATCCTTGTAATGGTAGAATTGCTCTCCATCAGGAGAAGCAAACTCTCCTCCAAAGACCCACAGCTGTCCTCCACCCTGAGGCACCACCACAGCCTGTGAGAAGAAAGGGACAGGTCAGAGCAACCATGCACCTCTCAGCCAGCTCCACACCCACAAGATCCACCAGACCACCTCCCATGGTGGCTGCAGCCGGTGCTCACACTCAGTGATCACCTACCCCTGTGTCTGAGGAGAAGATTCCTCAAAAATCCTGCAAATCAAACACCTACTACACATTCAGGTATTCCTAAGTTGCAAAATAGATTTAGACAACCCAGATCATGTTAAAATGGACACAGTGGTATCAAAAGCTCACATTAGATCTAACACAAACTGACAAAGTATTTTCTTTTTATTAAATATTTATAATACAGCTTTTTGCCTGCTTGCATTAATCCCTTCCCTAGTTGTTTGGCACAGCACACCTAAAACCTCACTAACAAATAAAACGTGTGTGTAATATGCAATGCTTATATAACATTTATCTTTAAAAGATTTAAGCACAACAGCAAAGGCAAGCAAAAGCAGTGAAAACAGCACCCTTGGGGCCACACACCCTGGAGTCTCTGGCAGTCCCACATCCATGGGGACAAGACAGAACAGAGCAGCACAGGGGCCAGGCTGACCAGGCACATGCAACATCAGGCTTTTAAGACTGACATGGGCATATTTCAAAGTATGACTAGGCTCAGCAGAGTATCAAAGCTTTCAGAGAACAATGGTCCCCAGGCACATCTCATATGCCAATGCACCCAGCTGAGGATGGAGGCAAGTGAGGACGGGAACTCAGGCTCACGTCACTTCAAATGCCCTAGGTTAACACCTCAATGAGAATGAAGAGTACCCAGAACCCCAGAAATACAAGCATGAAACACACAACTTTGGTCAGGCCACATGGGGTGCCTATAGTGACCATGCAGTGGAGCTCTCCTTCAACCACTGGAAATGGTCTCCGGGGGTAAGGGCAATGCTCCGGATGCTAGACTGGGAATCACTGTGCTAGGTCCCCCACAAGAGGGGAGAAAGTCAAAGCATGTGATTAAAAAGGCCTTCATAGAAAAGGGAAAATCTCATGTACCGGAATATATTTTAGATAGACAAAATAAGAGTGACTGCTACTCCGTATAAAACGACCCATACAGATGCAAATACAAGAAACATCGATTTGGAGAATTTTGTTTTTTAAAAGATTTTATTTATTTATTCATGAGACACACACACACACAGAGAGGCAGAGACATAGGCAGAGGGAGAAGCAGGCTCCATGCAGGGAGCCTGACGTGGGACTCGATCCCTGGACTCCAGGATCATGCCCTGGGCCGAAGGCAGGCGCTAAACCGCTGAGCCACACAGAGATCCCAATTTGGAGGATTTTAAAGGCAATTTCGACAGTCTGGTCCAGGGCTTTGGAGCTTTGGGTTGGACACTTTGGTGGAGTAAACTCTTCTCCAAACAAAAGCTTAAGCGTAGACTAAAGGTGGCAAAAGTGAAACTGGAGACCCCTGCCCAGAACCTGCGCCCCTTCTCCTTGAGGACACTCAGATCCCGTGCCCACACCTCATTTCGGAAAGACTGGCCCCTCTTGTAATTTTGCTGAATGCTACATGGGAAGCACCCACGACCACCTGAACCCATCAGAGCCACACATCCCACTGGCTGCCCAGTAAGAGTCCTGCTCCCTGGATATATTGTTCGATGACACACCACCTGGTAGGCAGCATGATTTCAAGGTCATTTGTGATTTGACGGTTTTACAGTGAGGTGAACTTATCTGTAAACTATGTGTCTGAAGGGACAGACTTCACAGAAATGATTTCTGCAAGCCCCCTGCAAACCCAGGCTGTGATGCTCACCCAGATCACAGCAAGCACAGAGCAGATGCCAGGCCAGTCTACCTGGGATCACCAGCTATGTACCCAGCAATGAAGGAGCCACACAAGCATGTACTTTACGCAAAAGGGGTGAGAGACAGGAAAAGCAGAAGGGCCCTCTTGCCCAGGAGATCAGAAGTGGTTGTCATGGCAGCAGGTGGAATGGCTGGGGTAGGGGAACTAGGTCAGGGCCATTGGGGCCTCACAAAATCCCGAGAAAGTGTGTACTGAGTGGGTCAGGCAGTGGGTCCCAGGAGGCTCTGTCCCAGGGTACCCGCGGAGTACCCCAGAGCTCCTGTCACAATGCATGTCCTTCCCCCTGCCTGGTGCCTATGAATGCTGCAGAACTATGGCTCTGTCACCGATGCCACTCCTGCCCTAGACTAAACTGAGGGGTCCTGGTGGCATAGTTAGGGTGGCACAGGCCCCATGCACTCCCATTTATAGTCAGTTTCATATGCACCATCTCAGCACAAATGACTACCTACAGAGACAAGCTAGTCTCCCATCACTCTATAACACCAGTCCATCTATGGGGAAGACACTGATGGTTTCAAATCATTAAAGCAGATGGGATGATTAGCTGAGGCTGATATCTAACAATTTTCTGAGTTTAGTGAAGTGGTACATTCATGCCATGCAACACAATGGCATTCTGAGATACTACATTATGGAAGGCTAAGTGTTATACATGCACACATAGTACATGTGTATGTACCAGTGTGTAATCCAACTAACATGAAATACAACTGTGCAGAAATAGGGATTACATGTTTAGACAGAGATGCAAAAATACAAATTAGTAGTTCTGGAAAAGACAATGGACTTACTTTCCTTTTAATTCTTTTCATTTTTTCATAATGAATATTTATTACTTACATAATCAGTTTTTCAGTCTTTTTTTTTCCCAAGATCTATTTGAGAAAGTGTGCATGAGCATGCGGTAGAGGGAAAAAAAACCCTAAGCAGACAGCCTGCTGAGCAGAGCCCATTGTGGAGCTCGATCCCATCATCCCTGAGATCATGACAAGAGCCAAAACCAAGAGTCAGACACTTAGCGACCATGCCAAGTAGATGTTCCAGTTTTTTCAGTCATTCTTAAAAAATGAAGGCTCAAACTCCAGGCAAGAAGACGACTGCAAGGCAAAGCTTGTGTTCCACATTCCTGCACTTAACTGCAACAGCAGGCCCACTGAGGTGAGAACTGTGGGGGCTGCACGAAGGTGGGTCCACAGTCAGTGACCTCAGAACTGCATCTAACCTACTCTTCAAAGACTGAACACCAACAAAAAAGTTACCATACTAGTCCTGAGAAGGCTAAAGCTGTAAGAAGACAGATATAAACCCTGCACTCCTGACCAGGAGGGAATAACCCACAACTCACTAGCCCTCCCTCCATCGACAAGGAGAACACTGGACAGAATCCATGAAGCAGCTACAATTGGACAACAGGAAGTGTGAGCCCATACTCCCAAGAGGTGGCAAATGAAAAGAACAAGCCCCTCAACTCTAGAGGCACTTTCTGCACCCTGATGCAGGGAAATGCGCCCAACAGGGCGGGGGGGTTGGGGGGGGTCTTGCTGAGCTGAGAAGACAAAGGTCAGAGGTCAGGGATGCTGAGGGCTGCTGGAATTTGCAGGGCAGAGTACTAGAGAGAGAGCACCCTGCAAATCCACACAGAGGTCCCACTGGAGCCTTTGAACACAGAGCTGCACAACTTCAGGGCAAGACCACAGGAGGCTGGGCTGACACCCGCCAGGGCAAACCTGAAAGCCTAACAACAACCCAAGCTTACAAGTGCCTTGGAGACCAGCAAGTACCAACTAGACAGATTGAAAAGTGTTACTGAACACCTAGGGCATTTGGTGGAGAACCCTGAGAGGCCATATAGGGCTAAACCATCCAGAGGGAAAGCCTCAAAAGAATCAAGGGTGATCTGCAGGTGACTAAAATGCCTGCCAGGACAAATCTCATCATTCATTGATAGAGGAGAAAAAAATCCAGACCATCAACAGGCAGCATTCACAAATCTAGCCAGGTGCTGCTGAGTGGCAGGAGCACCATTTGGCATCTAACCAGCATCTAATCATACATTCCTAGGGGGAAAATATGACCCATTAGAAGAAGAAAGGCCAGTGAGCAGAAAGAGACCCAGAAATGAGAGGAGAGAATTAGTATATGAGGACTTGAGAACAGTTATAAATATGCCCAAAGATTTAACGGAAAATGTGAACATAATAAATAGACATGGGAATGGCTATCAAAAATCAAACAACCTGGGACTCCTGGGTGGCTCAGCGATTGAGTGTCTGTTTTTGGCTCAGAGCGTGATCCCAGGGTCCGGGATTGAGTCCCGCATCAGGCTCCTCAGGGGAGCCTGCTTCTCCAACTCTTCCTGTGTCTCTGCCTCTTTCTCTGTGTCTCTCATAAATAAGTAAATAAAATCTTAAAAAAAAAAGAAATGAAACAACCTCTAGCATGAGAAACACGATCTGTAAAATGAAAAATGCACAAGTTCACAATACATCCACTGTGAAAGGCAATAAAAACTACCCAAAATGAAGTCAAAAAAGAAAAACACTGCAAGGAAAAAAAAAGGATTTATTGCCTTTTGGACAATATTAGACCATCTAACATACATCTAACTGGACTCCCAGAAAACCACAACGGTACCTCAAAACCAATGCTAAAATGCCAAAGGTAAAGAGAGAATTGTTTAAGCAGCCTTAGAGGAGGAAACAGACATTAAATACAGAACAAAGATAAAAACCACCAGTAAACTCTCACTAGAACAGTGTAAGCCAGAAAACGGAGTATCTTTCAAGTGCTGTCAGTCAGGAATTCTGTATAATCACATTATATATAATGGACAAAGGCCTGGGAAGCTCCGTTGTTTAAGTGTCTGACTCTTGATTTCAGCTCGGGTCTTGATCTCAGGCTCATCAGTTCAAGCCCTACGCCCAGCATGGAGCCTACTTAAGAATGAATGAATAAGTGTAAGACAAATACACCAATTAAAAGCAACAACTGTCACACTGGATAATAAAACAAGACCTGACTAGGAAAACCTGGAAGGCTCAGCAATTGAGTGTCTGCCTTTGGCTCAGGGTGTGATCCCAGGTCTGAGGATTGAGTCCCGCATTGGGCTCCCTGCAGGGAACCTGCTTCTCCCTCCGCCTGTGT